TATTACATTCTTAGTCACAGCAGCTCCCTAAGCAACACGGTTTTCTCTTCTGCTTCTCTTCATTAACGATGACGGGAAAACTTGTTTTTCCTAGATAGGTTTTGCCATCATCACTGTCCCACATCAAGAAAGCTCCTGATAATAAACTGAAAAAAGGTGAAAATGGATGACAGACCTGCTAGCATAGATGGACCACTGGGCAGAGGAGGTGCTCAGCACGTCCTGCTCCACAGTTACCCCGCAGCCTCCTGTTTGCCAGAGTCACCTGAGGATGATGCTCTGATCCCTTCCTACGTGAGCAAGTCACCCCCCACAACTGATGCGTACGGAGTGTGAGCACCAGCTGGCAAAGTGCAAACAGCTCTGAATTAAGCTGCCTTAATCATGGATATCTTTCAGAGCTCAAAACCTGCAAAAGCCCTCAGGTTCACCAGAACATGTGCAACCCTCAGGAGCAAGGGCCGATAGGCAGAGCAGCGCTTTCTGCCTCTGACATTGCTTTTGCACCAGGACACTCGCTAATATAGCACGCCATCTGGAGAGCCTTAAAAATGAAAAAGAAGGGGGATCCTGAATTGGTACAACCTTCACTTTTAGGAGACACGAGCACAGAATTCAAATTCAAATAAAGCTTTTCTAAAAACTATGTGGCACAGAAATGACGAGTGATTCAGTCAAGAAGCAACATGTGATTCATTAAAACCTCAAGCGAAAACAGAAAGCTGATTTAAAAAGAAATTATTCTAATCTGAAATAGAAGGAAGAACGGGATGGGCGTTAAGGCATTCTGATAGCCTCACCCACTAAGAAGCCTCAGAGATTGACACCGTGCTGGAGGAATTAGGTAACATCAGTCACTCACAGGATTGTCCCTGGCTTTAAGAGCAGCACAGGGAAACGAAATGAGTCTCTCCAGTGATGTTGCACTGCCTTAAAGGCACTCGTTTCTCCTCACATCTCCTTGGCTCACTCTCCAGCACACGTTCCAGGAGCAAATACACCAGAGGTCCTATACGGACAACCGTCCTCTTCCCTGCCTGCTCCTGACTCACCTCTTCAACACAGCTCGTTTTGCTCATGGTAGGAAACAGCAGTATGTGAACGTGCACCTTAAAAGCTGCAGGGGAAATCTTTGCTTTACTGAAGCACAGGAGAATTTTAGCTGTGATTTCAGGTGGGCCAAAATTTCAGTTTGATTTTTTTCTTGCACTTGCACAGACGGCGTTGGTCTGGCAGTTAGCTGGAGATGGTGTGTTAGCTGGTGCAAATGGAAGTAATGATGAGAAAAAGAAAAAAAAAAACAAAGGTTTAAAAATACTTCCGGTGAACACCTTGTTTTCTGTGGGAACACATTTGGTAGCTTGATGTAGGCCTTCCTTCCTGAATTTTGACCACCAACAAAATGTACATATATTTATAGGGGTTTGAGCCTCCTAGAAACCTGTCTTGGCTCCCCTCCTCAGGCCAAGCTCCATGGCTCAAGCTTGCAGAGAGGCCCTCCTCCAGCTGTGTGAAATCTTGAAAGGCACTTAATGAATTAGACATTATTAATATTCTCTTCCAACATCAGAAGGCAGTAATTAACTCTTTGAAGACTCATCCTAAACACTGCTTTATAACTCTCAGTCCTCAGAGGCAGCTATGTAATCTCATTTTGTTTTTAAAGAATATCTTTCCAGATTAATTATTTTCCCCCGTTTGGAAAAAAAAAGTTCAAAGTCCTGGTTCTGCCTTGGAGTGTGCATTAGTGACGTTAGATGTGCCATAAAGATTTCAGAGCACGGAACTTGATATGCTGCAGTACTTTGCAATTACGAATTAAAAGTCACCTCACCACCCTGGGCAGGAGAGATGACTGCAGGTTGAAAAGCGAGCAGGCACGCTGACTTTATGGGCTCATAAATGCAGCACGATGGCTGAGCTACCTAACACACAAAAAAGAAAACAAAAACCCAGAGCTGATAATAGCACGCTGAGCAGATGCCTGAAGTAGGTCACTCAACATGCCGGGCCTCCAAACGTTATTTGGGAGTGAGAAAACATTATTTTCCCACTTCAGCATGACTTTCTTTTCCCTGCCACGTGGAACTAACCTTTTGTGCTCAGTGCTATTATTAATTTATTAGCCTTTTGAACGTCTAAATTGTTTTGCTGTCTATGGACTACATCTAAGTGCTTGCTGAGGGATAATGCGGCACAAACACGCGTGTGTGTGCGTGTGCATCCACATACATGTATGAGTATCTCAAAGAGCGGACTTGAAGAACAATTCTCTCTATATATTTTTTGACAGTGAGAAGGGCCATTTTCTTCAGCACAGAACTGCAAGGAGTGTATTTTTGTTATCATTAAATGTCAAACCCTACGAGTGATGACCACATAGAAAAAGTGCTAAGTATATTTCTACTGAAATCAATTAAAGGAGACAATGATTTTCTTTCCATTTAGATTACATGACTCCAGCACAAGCTGCTGCAGTACCGTGCAGCTCTGTCAGCCCGCTCTCCTTGCCTGAACAACCACTTTCTGTTCGTCTGATGGAGCTGTCCTGGATGGCATGGCTTCTCCTAAGAGATGAACTCACCGCCAAACACTTCTGGGCCCAACAGGGAATCATGTATACTTTCAGCAGATATGAGGTTTGAAAGAATCCCCTGAATAACTTTATGTAACAGGACTTAGATTGCATCCCTGGTGTTGGCAGTAGCATGATCTAGTTTGTGCCTAGGAACAACACACAGAATTTCTGTAAAGCAGGTTCCAGCTCAGCGCATCGTACTGCAATACGAGAAGTAAGACTTTTCCCAAAATAGTTCTCGAGTAATACTGTAGGAGACATCATAGGTGGAGTTCACCTGATGTACCCCAGGTATTTCAAAGTTACTGATCAAGGACTCTCTCAAAAGTCAACAGAAAGGGGATGATTCTCCCACCCCAGACTGGGCACTGAAGAGGGGCCAGATGATTGCCTTCTGGAAGAACCATTCCTCATGGGCTATAAAGGTGACTGGTGACTAGCTTGGATGTCATCACCCAGCTTTTAGTGAAATGAACTCCATGCTGCAGGTACCACAGTGACGCGATCCTTTTTCGACTCCCCACCCACTCTGATGTAACGCCCACACATGCACTCAACCAACATTTCCTTTCCTTCTGCAAAATCCAACGTTTCCCTTCCTTCTGCAAAATCCAACGTTTCTTTAGAAGTGCTGTTCCTTCTTGCTTTGAGTCCCTACCCCCGTGGCAAAGTCCATGCACCTAACACTGAGCTGCACAGCAGGTATCTGTACTGGGGACCTGATTTCCACAAGTGTTTATACCTGAGTGACTCCCTATGGCAGGGCCCTGCAGGGGAAATCAATTTTCCTAAAAAAAATGCGTGGGAGAGAAGAAAATCCATGAAAACCCACCCAGGCAGCTATTCCCCATACGCATCCCTGGACTACAGAACTCCAGCACATTGCCCTGTCTGGAAAAGATCTGTATGTGTTTTTGCTGTACACAGCCTTGTCACAGCTAATGGGGGAAGGGGGGTCCCAGGGAGCTAGCTGAAGTGACAGGTTCACAGTTTTAAGAAGGAAAGAATACATTTTGGCACAATGTATGTGGCATTATCTTGTCCCATGAAATCACCGTCAGCAATGCCTGAGCAGAATTGTCATCCCGGGGCTGTGGCTGGTGGCACGTGGCAGGCAGGCGAGATGGCAAGGGGGGGATGCTGCAGTCAAGGCTTGGAGGAGGACATCTTATCAACAGAGGAGTGATAAGCTAGAAACCCCAAACTAGCTTTCAAGCCCCAAAGCCCTTCTTCTGAAACAGAGTTAACAAGCTTCAAGTCAGAGGTAAGCTGACAAGCTGGAACCAAACCTGATTATAATTCAGCTCTTTCAGGCTCCAGCACAAACAGAGGGGGACTGTAATCCCATTGCATCTTTTTTTGCCATGGGTATTTTGTGCCACACTTGGTATATTAATGAGCACTAAATATTAAAACTCCTTTGAAAGAAGCGTTTGGAAGATGCTCCAGAGGCTAGAGAGGAACTAGACTCAGAAAAGTAAAATTCTAGTTGTGTTGAACTCCTGTTACTGTAGAGGCTGAGATCATCTCGTGAAATACTGAGACAGCCTCGGTACATTATCAGGTGAGATACCCTAGGTACAGCTGCAGAAAAATGTGTTTCAGCAGCTAGAGGATCACAGTTAATGCTCGATAATCTATAAATCATTGTTATGAGATTTCTCCATGCAGATGAAATTTATATAACCTTCATCAATCTTAAAAAAAAAAATGATAAAGATTAGATTTTGCAGCCGCAATGCAAATTAAAGAATCCCTTAACCTGTTTTCAAGATACGTCCTTATAGCTAATTAATTTTTAGATGGAGTGTTCTTTGAAAGGACTAATGGATAGTGAGCATTGCTGATTGATTATAAAATGAGCAGGAGGGTTTAAGAAGTGAGCTGTGAATGTAAAATCACAACCAAGCTTTATTAACCTTGCCATATTAAAATTCTAAACTACGCAAGCAAGAGAAGCAGGTATTAATATAATACTTTTGCTGAGTACGTTTTATTTATTTAACATCAATAAATTTCTCTTAGTTGGTCTATGCCATGCACATCCATCAGACTGGCATCCTCTGACCTATATCTCACCTCTGGGGAATCCAGAAGCTGGATTCTATCAAACTACAAAATACCACTTTATCCAATAAGCAATGGGGGGAAAAAAGCCCAAAACCAGCAACTGTGAAGGAAAGGAAAAGAAATATAATTCATATGTCACCCTGCTAGGCCTGCTTCTCAGAGCCGCAAATCTACGGGAAACTTTTATTGAGCCATCATTAACGAACAGTGACATTTATTGAAAGGCCAGTTAATCTGCAATGACCTGAAAATATCAAGAGTAAATTGGGGGTTGTTAAAACACTGCAAACAGCCTGCAAGAGTGTGCAATCTCTTGGTGAGAGAAAGGGGAAAACAAGAGCAGTGGCCTTACCCGCTTCCTCAAATTGCAGGTGAGCGTGAGATTCCTCGAGAACGAATTTGCGAACGCGGTATAAAAGTCCAACACTTTCAGCAAGGCTTCTCGTTTAATAATATGTAAATCGCAGTATGTCAGAGCCCGTACGTTGGCACAGGCGTGGGCCAGGCTGGTTTCCTTCCAGAAGATATCACCAAACACATCACCTTTGCCTGAAAAACAGCAGGACAAATTTGTTAACAGGGAAGACTTACGCATTGTTCTTCAGCACACAAATGCTTTCTTCCCAAACTGTCTTATGCTTCCAATTATTTTAACATAAGCTCTCAACAGTGGAAAGGAGGAAGGGTAAAAGTTTTTAAAGTATCTGAAGTCCTTGAGTATCCTTAGCAGTAGCCACACGTTTTTTAAGGTATTTATAGACTGCTCTGTGAAGTGTCATGAAGCATAAAAACCAGATTGTAAAGGTCTCATTGCAGCTGAAGATGCAGGTAACAGATTTTTCAAAGGCTCCTGAACACAGTAAGCACTTAACTAATGTTGAGGTGATAGAGTATTTCTGACGGTCTGTTCCTAAGTGACTTGGGAGCCCCACTCTCACCGAAAGCCCATGACATTTACGTTCCTGCCCCACCAAGGCTTTACAGTGTGGTGCAAGAGCCAGCTTCCATGGCCCAAGGACCACATTTTAAAGGATGTCTAAACGTTTTTACTTCAGTGTGAGTGGCAACACTCCTTCTGAAAACCCACCAAAAACCTCCTTGAGACTTTTAACCTGTAAATAACTGGCTTTAACCTTAAACAGATCCAGAAGTCTAGTTCTAAATCCAAACACATCCACTCTTAAGTAGAGGCTTACACTTAAGTCTGTATTTAAACGTCTGCTGACTAAGAAAGGATTTGACTCCTTAGACACCTGCACATATAAATAATTTCAACCAGATGTGAAAATTACCAAAGGCTATTTCTGCATTGGTTAGTAGTGCAGCAAAACAGCTGATGCTGAGGACCTGACCTTCACCCTGAGCATTTTCAGGACTTAGGACTAGCTGTAGTCCAGTCCCATGGTCAGAATAGCTCCAAGGAGTTTAAGTGCATGAGATGTGCTCCTCTGCATCCCCCAGTTTCCTTCCCGCTGCAAGGAATCCACACCCCCAGGCAGCTGTGATGACACTGAAGCAGAAGAGGTGAGGAGGATCAGGACCTCAGATTCAAAAATCACACTCCTGACCCAACCAAAACACCAGCATGGATGCAGACTGGAGAGACACTTTCAGGTTTGGACACTACGGTTGCTCTGAGAAGAAGCAGTGGCAGCAGAAAGCACCTTGAAGCATCCAAAAGCTGCTTCTTGCTTCCTAGCTTCTTGCCAGTCTTGGGCTGGGCAAGGGCCATGGCGTGTGGTTTGTGGCTGACACCTCAAATCCTGAAGCAGAAACCATGGCACAAAGAGCATTTTTTGTTTCAGACCCCAATGATGTCCGAGCTCTTTATTTTAGCGGTTATTAAAAGGAAAGTGAAATCAATCAGTCAGTGGTGGTATTGCTATTGATTCCACGTACCTCAAGCAGCCCCTTGGTGAAGGTTAGTGATTTTACAGTTTTGGGATAAAAAAGGTAATACATTTTAATATTTCCTCTTTTAAGAACTAGTAACATTTCACTCAACACTATTTTGGGAACACAGACCAAAGTAATAATTCATCCAGCCTTATTACTTTCTGGGGTCAGAGGATCTATTTCTCTATTTCCATTTCTGCTTTAGGTATTGTATCCAGTAAAACACAGCCAACACTTCTCACGTAGAGTATAATAAAATGTGCAAGTCCTTATCTTCATTTCTGCATTTTAATTTCCTAACAAAAGTCTGCATAGCAGAATATCCTTTAGAAGGGTAATAACTGCATTCTCATTGAACTGCTTTTAAATAATTCTACATATTTTCATGCAATTAAAATTAACTACAATACAAAATACAGATGGTATAATATATAAAACAAGTTGCTTTAAAATGCTCTCCTTATCACAGAGCATTTCCCAGTAACATATCATTTATCTAATGCACGGTTTCCAAATTACCCTTTGCAGTTAATTGTCCTTGTCTATACTCACCATTCAAAACCTGGTTTACAGACATACTCAGCACAGTTACATAATTTATAGAAAATAGACCATTTCTGAAATGCACAAAATTGCTTAATGGATTTGCTCTCTGAGGTGGACACAGGACAGAATTGAGTCTTGCTTTCACCGGCTGCAGAGTGCAGTTAAAAAGACAGAATTCAATAATAGATACTATTACGATTTTCCACTGAAATGTGAGCAAAATACTTGTTTTCTTTCCAAATTTAAGGCAATACATAGCTAATATAAGCCCAGGGGTTGGAAGCAGTGGATGCTCACGCCGAAACTCTGCACAATGGTAAGTTACAGAATCCGTACCCCAACCACGGCTAAATGAAACCACCATTCATAAACTCGAGAAGATCTCCTTGTCTTCAGTCCAGCGAGGCAGGGAACAGCACCAGGTCCCTCAGAAAGGCTGGGACATGATGAACTGATCCTATTCCCTCCTCCATGAGCCATCAGTCACTGGATTTGAATGGTGAAGCTATAAGCTCCTTGTTCACTGTGGTTTATTCTCTGCAGAAAGTATAAAATCTTTGGAAGCGTTTAAGGGTTCTTGAATTTGACATTTCCCCCACGCACTTCCAAGTCTCATTTGCGTGTTACAAATATGTTAAGGAATGTACGAGGTGAAAACAAACCCCATCAGATTCTCCAAAACAACGTGCCTTTTCTCATAAATACAGAGATTAATGTGCTATACTTCGTCCCTATTAACTGTAGTTCACTGAGTAGAGAGGGGTAATTATTCATTCCAGTTTAATTTTACATGGCGCCACTAAATGGAAAAAACCTTTCAGAGTTGCAACAGAGGATGTAACTGGTAGGTCTGGAAGGCCAGCACGCAGAGGCACGCGGGCGTTGTACGCTTGCATGACATGTGCACGCCTCCGGGGAAAGCCCGGGGCTGGGCTGGGAACACAGAGGCACTCGGGGCTGATGCAGCCTGCAGACTTTCCAAAGCCTCTCTCTGGAGATTTCTTGGTGTTACCTCCTAAATCTGCACTGCCTTGAGTCCTGAGCAGTTTTAGTACCCCTCCTGAATGGAGGCAAAGCTCTGGGAAGTCCTCCTCATGGCGGGGTGGGGTGGGGTGGGGTGTGGGCTAGGTGACCTTAAAAGGTCCTTTCCAGCCCAAACTACTCTATGATTCGGTGATACCTATGTGTCCTGGTTTCTGCTGGGACAGAATTAATTTTCTCCCTAGTAGCTGGCATAGTGCTGTGTCTTGGATTTAGTACTAGAAGAATGTTGATAACGCACTGATGGTTTAGGTGTTGCTGAGTAGTGCTTAGACTGGCCAAGGACTTCTCAGCTCTCAGCTCTGCCAGGGGCACAAGAAGCTGGGAGGGGGCACAGCCAGGACAGCTGACCCCAACTGGCCAAAGGGATATTCCATACCATATGATGTCCTGCTCAGTATATAAATTGGGTGAAGAAGAAGGAAGGGGGGGACATTGGGGGCAATGGCATTTGTCTTCCCAAGCCACTGTTACGTGTGATGGAGCCCTGCTGTCCTGGAGATGGCTGAACACCTGCCTGCCCATGGGAAGTGGTGAATGAATTCCTTGCTTTGCTTTGCTTGCGTGCACAGCCTTTGCTTTCCCTATTAAACTGCCTTTGTCTCAACCCATGAGTTTTCTCACTTTTACTCTTCTGATTCTCTCCCCCGTCCCATTGTGGGGGGAGTGAGCAAGCAGCCGCGTGGGGCTGAGTTGCCAGCCAGGGTTAAACCACGACACTATGTAAAGACAAAATTTATCCTTCTCCAGATGGGGACAGAAACTGAGATAAGAAATGTCCTAGCAGACATGAGAACTTGATGAGGCCTTTGGGATATAATTTGGGCAGACAGTGAAAGAATAAATTCTTGGTGGAAAACAGTACTGAGGAAAAACAGGTAAAAGGGACCAAGACTTCTTCTTGGCGATAAGGTGCTTTTCTGTGCTGTGTAGTCTTAGTTAATAAGCCAGCTACCCTTCCCCCCCACTTTAAAACACCTCCAAAGTCCCATCAGTCACACTAGCAAAAGCCAGATGTGATGAATAATGCAGGCTTTCCACCACGATATGCTCAAATCTTCTGTTGCTTATGAAAAGCAAAGCCTGATTTTGTTGCAGAATCAGTAAAACCGTATCGTGTAGAGAAAATGTTCATCTAATCAGCTCAGGTACCAATAGCCATGAAGCAATGGCAGCATGCACCGAGGTGGAGATCAGCAGCCAATTATCAAGTCCCTGCAGCCATAATTACATATACGGGTATGTATATTCATACAAGGACATCTGCCTGTGTCTATACATCTGCAGTGAACCCTTTGGCTGCAGGACAGATGGATCTCAAAATGATGCAGAAATCCAAAGAGCTTATAGGGAATCAGCTCCTGTTTCCCAGACCAGCACACAGCTCCGTGGTGGTGCAGCGAGTAGGTTAGCTCTGCAGCTCCTTGCCACGGGGCATCGGGGATGGTTGCACAGGTTTACAAAGTAACAGGATGGATTCATGCAATAAAATCCATCTGTGGCTACTAAACACAAACTATTTCCCTCTTGGTGAGGAAGACCTTAAAAAATGATTGAATGGAGGGTTGGAGAATATTCTGGGGAAGTATCACTGTTTGCTTACTTCATCTTCTTACCTTCCCCTGCACATCCACTACTGGCCATTTTTAGAGACAGGCTACTGGGCTGGCTGGATTTCTGGATTTAGGTAATACAGGTGTTTATGTCTGAGGAGGGGATCTGGAGAAGATGGGGGTGATGTAGTGGTGCAAATTCATCAGCTGCCTCCTGCCCGCTGGGACATCATTGCTTCCTGTAAGCGCAGCCTATGATGTGCAGAGATGACTGTGAGAGGGGGCTCCTTGCCTCTGGGAAGGTTTTAGCCAAAGTCTCAGCCTTTCCTACGGCATCCAGAAGGGCCAGAACTCCCTCAAAAATCAGACCAGAGCTGAGCACTGACCAGTCAGAAATCCAGCTCTGCAGGACTGCACATTACCATGTGAAAGGGCAGAAAGATGAGAAAAAACAGCATTTCTACTATTTGAAAGATTGTCAAAATAGCCAGCAAAGAAATAATAGAAGAGACT